GGGGGGGGGGGGGGGGAGCACCTTCAAGGGGGAGTTGTTCTACTTGTTCATAATGTAAAGTGCTTTTAGAACAACTTTAAAGATGAAGCATTCTGATTTACACACATACCAGTACACACACTACTAGTATGGTAATAGTACAGCAATTAAACCATTGAATTAGTTTGTCTCTAGCACTTAAGTGCGCTTTCATTTTTTGCTTCCGTTTTGGACACTCACACTTTATGAGTTATGCAAGATCAAGCTGAAACGTGAGTGAGAATGCTAGACAAAGAAAACATGGCCTTTACTTCTTTAACAGACAACTGAATTACTTACAGAACCCAAAGTGAAATAACAGAAAGACGAGTGCAGACCAAAGCAATGTACACTTGTTGTAGGAGATTATGTTACTTCTCGCGTCTCAAATGCCGCTGTTAAGCAAAGTTTACCTGTCTGAGTACACAGGTTCACCTGTGCTTTTCACCGGCCGCAGAGCAGCTGAAGGCTCCTCCTCCGGCTCAGGCTCACATGCGGCACTGTTGAATTAACAGTTTTTTTAACAACAGTTAGATTATTACCCAATTTTTGTAACACTAAAATGATTTACATGGGCAATATAAACACACAATACATTTTGGGTGGGGGGTTCATAAGTGAAAGTTACAGGTACGTTTTTAGCCTCACCTTTTCAGTGGACTGCCTGCTTCTAGGATGTGAAGAATGACCTTGGCAGAGTTTTGAGGTCAAATTGGAGTGAGCATGCGCACTATTGTTAATCAATTATCAATATCAGCAAGACCCTCAAAAATCACAGAAAAAAATGGTAGCACTGACGGAAAGGCAGCAGGTGGCGGAAATTAAATCTCTGATCAAATTTCAAATAAGAGCGAAGAAAATACATCTATCTTTTGGATTCGGAATCCATTTTTTGCATTGTTTTTGAATTAATCTATGACACGCCCACGAACCTCAGACACTTGATATTACTTACATGTATACAGCATATTATTTAAATTATTTATTTTTCATTTACTTTTTTGGTATTTTTTGGTGTTGTTGTTTAATTTTGACAACCATGATAGCTAACATGTAACATGAAAAACTAAATATAAAATTTATTAACTTATTGATACCAGTACACAATAAGTTTCTTTTTCCTTTTCCCTTTCACAGAAAAAAAAAAAAAAAAAACGTGAAGTACACAATGAAAGTATCAGAAGCGGCTATTTATCATCAGCAGCAGTTGTTATACAGACTGATGTGTCAATAATACGCTATAGTTAATCAAACAGACGACGGTCCTTTTTATTTTCTTTTCAATTAAAGGGATAATAACTCTTTGTATGAGATCTATATTTCACAATAAAAACATTGTGAACAACTTATAGAAATATAATATATTCTGTTTTACTACAAAAACGGCAGTTATAGCTATTATTCTGATATCTGAGCTTGTCTTCAGACCACGTGACCTCCATTGATGGCTATACTCTGCTATAATCTCTTAAGAGATTTTAACAAAAAAACAAACTTTTTATAAAATAACCAGGGACTAACTTTGAATGTAAAATTGGATTCATTAACCATTGGTAAGTATGGGAAAAATGTTGTTTACTCCAGGAAAATTCATTTTTTGGCCAAAACGAAGAGTTATTATCCCTTTAACATCCACAGTATTCAGATCTCCCCTAGCTCCCCGGCCACCTATTTAATAGGAGGTGTAAAAAAAGGGGAGGGGGGGGGGGAGGGTCACTGAAAAACTGGATTGTGCTCCCACAGGAAAAGATGTCCTAACTTGTGAAATATGGCATGGAAAATGGATTGAATTTTGATTCAAAGTCGACCTTTTCAGCTAAAGTGCAGATCTTTCTGCCCCCCCCCCCCTCCCCCACCGCAAACGGTCATATGCTATTTTTTCTATCGAAAAGTTCTACATGTACATATGTATACTGGCATATTTGGACAAATTGAACGTTTTATTGGTGGCAGGAATACTGCACTTTTATTCTCTATAGTAGCCAACAAACGGTATTCAAGGGAGATACATGTAACATTACATTACTTTTACAGTATTATTGGAATCCACACTCACTTACAAGCACTCGGGGAGAGAGTGAAGGGGGGTGGCGGAGAAAAGACCTTGATATAATTAATATTCCAATACGTAGGATTTCCGTCTTGTTCATCATCTGGATTTCCGTAGATCTCCTCGTGATTATTGGAATTATTTCTGCTCACTGTGGTCTGTTTTTCACGGTTTTCGATACCGTGCAGTACGCTTAAGCCTTCAGCTAATTGCGAGGGACAGCCATGACAAGCATGACATGATTATCCATGCATTCCAAGAAACAAGTCTTAATTATAAACGAAAAAGCAGTTCGTGATCTCGAGTCTCGGGATTAAGATCGCAATTATAAGCGACTCAAACCGTAATTTCATGGCGGGAACGTACGCAGTAAGCGTTGGCAAAAATAACAGGTCATTATTTCTGGTGGGTGTGCGTTGAATGTGGTGCCTATTCAAGGAACAAAGCCTGCCGAGTAAAATTGTAGTAGGCTAGGGCACATTTACTGTAAAGTGTGAGGTAACGGGATGGGGGGGTTGGGGGGGTGGGGAAGGGGGCGTTTGTTTGGATTGCATTTTACAGTGTATATAATTTTTTTTAGGAAGAAGCATCAGAAAGGGGAGTGGATGGAGAGGGATGGGGGGAGGTAGGGAGGCACTTGAACTATTTTGTGTATCACAATTCTGGGTAAAACCACTCCTTAGAGAGAGTGCGTGAGTGCGATACAAAGTAATGAAAAAAGATGGGAGGGGGGAGTGGCCAATACCAACTTAGGATTCGGTAAACTTTCTTAAATGGTAATAAAGTCTATATTAAACTAAAAAGAAACATTGCCTTCCTCTAAATCTGGAATTTTTATTCGCCCTTTGTCCTTTAAGCTTATTATCTTATATAGTGGTATTTATTACATATAGTTTAAATTATTTTTAATCAAATATAATTATTAATAAGAAAGTGTTAAGTCGTTTTAAATGGGTAATATTGCTTTTTTTTATCTTGTTGAATGTCGTATTGGAAGCTTAATTACTTCCGTCTAACCATGAATGTGTGGCAAGACGGCATGCATAAATCCTCGAAACAGAGGGAAAATAAGCCACTCCCCTCATCTCCCATTCCCCGAGACGATTCTGTTAATAGTGGCAATTTAATACTTCATACACACTTGTGAAAGTATCACTTCACCCTTGAGTAAAGCCACCCTACAATAATTATATCTATATATACATTGACCAAATTGCCTGTCCGCAGCCTGCAATTTCAAAGATATTCCATGCGTCGCCATTATTAAGAGACATGGTGCTTGCCCTTCCTTTCCTGGTAATGGCAATGACAGGCTAGTGAAGAAAGGAAATAGGTTATTTACGTCATCGAAGGTAAAGAAACAGAAAACGTGCGCACTCACGCACTCTCTCTCTCTCTCACACACACACACACGCACACAATTGCACACACAAACGTACATAGACACACATGCACACACACACACACACAAACACACACACAGACATACATGAACAGGCATGCACACACAAAAACATTTACGTATCACACACTTACATATCCACATCACACACAACAACACACACACACACGCACACATACACACGTGCACGCACTCGGACAGACATACGCACACACACAGGCATACAGATACACACACGCACTTATTAAGACAACAGTGATGAACTCTTTTTAAGTTAAAACACTTAATTTAATTCCGATTTTTTATTTGATTAATCTGCTTATTAAATTCATGACATTTAAGATAGGTGTGAAACAAGCCATTGAGCGTTCTAGCCTGTCCTCATCGGCGATTCACTGGCTTGGTATTGACATCAACAAATGTCGACCAATATGTTTAACAACTCCCTTTCATCCACAGTGACTTTTTAAGACATCAGCGAAATTAGTGAACTGGTTCGCATAAATAATTTCTAACATTTCTAGTTTGTGAGTATCTAAAAATTATTTTTGATTCTTTTGATTCTCCTGTCGATAAATATCTTATTGCATCAGTTTATAAATATATTCCTTGCAATTTGATTTCGAATAATAATTATAAAAAATAATTGTCGTCATTATCAGAAGACTAATGGTTCCCCTGATCGTAGGTGTGAAAATAATGATGGCCTTCGTCAAACATACACGATAGAGCCAAGCTAACATGCATGCCATCAACAACAGGATACACTGAAAATCAAAGTCAATTGACAGTTAATAGACGGGGTTGACTTCCAAGGCGACAGCTGGCCTATACTAGGGGAATTGTAAGGCTTCTTCTGATTGGTCTAGAAGAGTTGCATAACGAGCCGAGAACCCACGTGGCCGGTAAATAAGAAAGCTGGCGTTACTTAACAGCGTTACTTTCACAGACCTTAAACGCTTCTGACACCTAACGTGGATGACTCCAGTAAACCCCAGTGTCAACTTCTGTATAGATGTTCCTGTCAAGGTAAGTTGTATAGTATCTGTTTTTATTTACTTATTTCTGTATTTATTATTCGTTTATGAGGAGAGGGTGGGGGAGGGGCGACAAGTGCACGTATTGTTGGTTATGCTGTAATGAGGGATATTTTTCAGCGCCTAAAGAGAATAATGCCATACTGTGTTTCGTTCACAAGTCGCTGACAGGTTCAAAGCTTTGTTGGAAAAGATATAATGGTAGGAACCAAAGGATGGCAAATTGGGGATAAGCATGTAGAAACGCTACTCGAAAGGTGCCGACTTAAGATTTGACAGTATCGTACAATGATAGAAAATTCTTGTAGGCGTTGTGAGTCGATGTGTAAATGCATTAAGCACAATAACTTTTCATGTCACACGTTCATTATTCCGCGTTCCTAACAGATAATCTTTAAATACAGGTAGGTTGACGTTCGGGCTGATTAGTGATCAGAGATTAGTGATTAGTGAGCAGCATCATTAGCGCAAGACATTCTCTGTAAGCAAGGGTATGCATAGTAATCAGATCTGCTTGTTCTGACACGAAAAAAGTTACTGCAATGGAAATGTGGCTGGCAATTTTTGTTGGCTCTGTCAAACTAAGACCTACCCCTGTACTGGGGTATGTCTACCTGTAGATACTTAAATAAAGTATAATAAATTTTCTCCAACTAGAAATGCATATTTTAACGAGGTCCACGAGTAATTAACCTAGGGGGCAAGTGCCCATGCACAATCAAGGGGGTGATCGGCAGTACGTTTATTTGTACCGGAGACTGGCATTTGTCTTTTGGTTTTCAAATGTTAAGATGTACACTGCAGTTCTCGGCTTTTCTCTTCAGAAATGTGCCTCCAAAAATATGACACAGTACTGAGCTTCTAATTGCCTTGATGTTAGGGAACACTGCACCATCGATCGGAAGGCTGTGGACAATTTTAACGCTGATCTCCGCAAGCTGATTAACCCTAGGCTTGAGGGTGTGAAAAATCGCCATTTTTTTCTGATGACTTGACGTCATGTGCAGTGCACGCTTCATTATTGTACAAAATGTGCAATTAACAGTGCTACGTGGTAATTGTCCTTTAAATGAGCTCAGTCGAGAGACTAGTTAGCCACCCAGCGCTAGCATGGCCGCCATGACTGGCTGAGTACTGGCGTGGCGAATTTAAACAAATTAGAGAATTACATAGCTACCTTAAAACTTTCGATA